ATTTCGAAACGGAGGGAGTACCCAAGAAATTAGTAGGGCAAGTTGATAGCAACCCAAACATGCCCGTCATCTTCCCACCAACCGAGATTTGGAGGTCACCAGCCCCGTGCCTCTGTGCTATCGGCCTAGTAGCCTCAAGCCTCTCTGCACGGTGCCATTTCTCCGCCAACCGACCACATCAATGGCTGCTTCTTGCTTCTTGTAGTCCTAGCCATGGCGGGCTAGAAGTCATCTCGCTCGACCACGTGTGTAAGTCAGAAACCTGAAATGAAATCCTAAAACAAAAGGTTAATTATAGTGTGATCCACCTTCTATTACCAAAGTTTTACTTTAAGTCATCATTTAACTAATATTTTTACTTTAAACTAGGTGAGATTATTTTTTGTTACACTTTAGACCATTCCAAGTCACTTTTGTAGTACCTCCCATACCAGACATAATATTTTATAGGTGTTAGATTTGATATTTATGTACCATACTAAAATTATCCTGGCGCTAGAAATTTCCATAGAACGATATATCATTGTGTAGTACTTCTTCTGTTTCATAATATAAGTCATTCTAATATTTTTTATATTTATATTGATATTAATGAATCTATTAATAAAAATATAGGAAATGCTAGACTGACTTATATTGTGAAACGGAGGGAGTAGTATAGTATTTCTAGACGTAAGAGATTTCGTTGCATCGATATTACTGTTCCGTAGTATTTCTAAAAAAGAAGAGGATGAGTTTTGAAACGAAATCCCAGTGGATCTCGGCCCAGCCAAACGCGGCCCAAGGTAGTCAGCCCAGATGGCCCGGCCCATCTGGCAACTTGATCTAAGTAACCCCCAAGCAGGAATTTTTTTCGTTTTTACATTTTTTTTTAATATTTACAGAAATAATCTATCGACCAAAAAAATTGCAAAAATAGGGGGGGCGGCAAGCTGACGTGGCAGACGGTGGGTCGACCGCGCCGTCTGCCGCCGTCGGCCAAAATTGCGATTAGGCCCTTGCCGCCCATACAGAGGGCGGCAAGGGGCTAATTGCAATTTTGGCCGCCCATAAAGAGCTTGCGGCCGTACTTTTTGCATCTGGGTCCCTTGCCGCCCTAATATGTAAAAAGTACGGCCAAAAGATTTTTCTATGTTATGTTAATAATAAATAAAGAAGTATTTATTGGTAAAACTTGTTAATATTGTTATAAAAATGTATTGAAGTTGGTTGTTGCGCAATTTCATATGTTAAGTGAGGTATTATTTTGTACCTTATTCGACGTATTAGTACTCGGATAATTTATATAGGCCTATCGCAGTCTGGGTCGTAGAAACATTATATGGACTTAATCAAGGAGAATTATGTAACATGAAGAAATAGTAGTACAATTTGAACATGATACAACTATTTGCATTGCGGTTACATAGATGATATTAGATTCGAACTAGGAGGGAGGTAGTGCAATAGTTGAACACAACGACGATGTTGGCATAGTATCTCAAACCTGTGCTGTTGGGTACCTTGCACTAGAGCTCGATGTTTCATGGCCTTTTTACGCAACTCCTCTAGCTTTTTCTGCATGAAAGTTCCAAACAAAATGCTATTGTTCGGCATAGAGGTAAGAACTGCCTGGAACCGATCCCTAAAATACATGCATGTCCCATGTAAAATGAACTCCACTATGCCAACTAGTGGCAGTCCACGGACACCGCGCATCACCCAGTTGTAAACTTCTGCCAAATTTGTTGTCATTATTCCATATCTAGCACCACCTGTGTCATACGCCTTGGCCCATTTCTCTTTTGGTTCATGCAGAATCCACTGAGAAAATTTCCGAATCTCCAATCCAGTTCTTCTAACCAATGTTGGACTATCCGTTGGGAGAGGTCCAAGAGCTTGAGGAGGGTCAGCAACGGCGGTCGATGGAGCCGCTGCACGCTGATCACTGCATTTGGCTGTCAACTCATCTAATCTCTTCCAAAGCTCATTGAATTTTTTTCTCCTGGTTCTGATTGCACAGCCTCTTGAACATGTTCATGAGCTCCTTGTTCTTGAATTGCTTGAAGAAATTAGCTCCCATATGACGCATGCACCACCTACTCTGTACATCTTCCCAAACACCAGGGTATCCTCGTTCCATACTCCCAAACTGCAACTCTTCTATCGCTCGTAGAATGCCAACGTGCCTATCATGTATCAGGCACACATTTGGCCTCATACCAACAACTTTTGTTTTAACCAATTTCAGGAACCAGTACCAGCTGTCGGTATTCTCACTCTCAACAAAAGCAAATGCCAAGGGCAATACCTGATTGTTCCCATCTACCCCTATTGCTGTTAGTATCTGGCCCCGATACTTTCCTGTCAAGAATGTCCCATCAATGCAGAGAACAGGACGACAGTTCACGAATGCCATCTTGCATGCATGTAGAGCTAAGAACGCCCTTTGCAGCACACTCTTGCCAGGATGTTCAATTGAGGGGAATTTCTTCACTTCGTAAGAGCTCCCAGGGTTTCTTTCCTTGATAACACCAAGCAGGCGTGGCAAATTGTCATACGAGGCTTCGTAAGTTCCAAATCTCATCTCTATTATTTTCTGTTTGGCCCTCCAGGCCTTGGCATAGCTAATAGTATACTTGTATGTCTCTTTGATGTGTCGGATTATTGACCTTGGTTCATATGTGAGATTATCGATGACATGTGCATACATCTCAGATGCAACAAATGCACATGTAATATTCCTGTGGTATTTCTGAACACCAGGTAGAAAACATGTATGCTTGGTAACGACTGACACTGTCCAATAATCCTTCTATTTCCCCTTATACGCGTGCACTCTCCAGGGACAACCATCTTTTTCCTTAACACACCGAACTTCATATTGCGACCGGTTCGACTTGGCAACCCAAAACTCTCTATAAAGTGACATTGCAAAATGTTTTACCGCCTCCTTCATATCTTCTGCTCTACTATAAATCGCTCCCTGAATAACCTCATTTTCTTTGTACTCCCATCTCACACTATCCTCTTCAGAGACGATCAGCCCAGAAAAATCCTCACTAGCCCATTCTGCTGGATTAATATCCGTCTCATCATTTGACGAATCACCTTCCTCTACACGCTCGTTGTCAGAATCCTCCCTCTCCATTTCATCCACAATGGCACCGACAGTCTCCCCCTCATCGGCCACTCCACTTGGTTGAATGCCCACTGGAGCTACTACGCCCCCGTCCTCTCGTGCGTTGACCTCCTCCACAGAAGTCTCATTTACTTCAGCACTTGGTCCCTCGCCATCATCCATGTTCATCTGCACACCTGGATCCTTCGGGTGAACAAACGGAACCAAAGCTAGAGGCCACCCACGTTGCAATGTATTTTCCAAATACCATCTCACACACTCGAGAGTTTTGAACTGGCATTAGTTCCCAATAAAAACCCTCAGTTGTCCGACTTACTATAACATTGATTGTTATGTCACTTGTCTGTGGATCAACTCTCAAGCCCCTCATTAACCATCCTTTTATAAAAGGTATACTCCTCTCAGCCGGTCTATCAATTCCCCTTTCTGATACAATAAAATCTGACAGATCTACCCCAGTTGGCCCGTAACGGACGTTTCCTGGTCCATGGTAAACTTGGAATATTTGTTTGTTCGACATATTTGTCAACGAAATAACTAGATCATATTACTCTTTCATGCAATAAACATCTACAACTTAATATCTTCTTGTGTAAGCCAATGCAATGGTAATGTATTGATTCCAAACTAGCAGATCTACGTAGTTACCGATATCTACAATACGCACTTCTAGATTAGTACAACTAAAACCCTAAAAATATAATGCATTTATTCAAACAAATTTTTAAAAAATACACACTATTTAACTCAATAGTCACATATAGGATCTATGAATATTACCTGAAATCGGTGTCTGAATCCGGCAGGGCTTCGCCCCTTCTTCTCTTCTCCTCCCCTCTCTTCTTTTTTTTTCACTGGATTTGAGGGGGGAGGAATGAGGGCTGGGGGCTGGGCAGCAGGCCTTTTATAGGCAGCGAGGCCTGCCGCCCGGCCAGAGGGCGGCAAGGGGCCGCCTGCAAAATGGCCGGCCCCGACTGGCTTTTTTGCATTCGGGCCCCTTGCCGCCCCACCAGAGGGCGGCAAGGGTTTTCCTGCAAAAAACCCTCCCTCCGTCACCGCCCGTTCCTCCCCCGTTTGCCACGTCAGCTTGCCGCCCTAGAGGTGGGTGACAGGGTCTATTTTTGTAATTTTTTTGGCCGATAGATTATTTCTGTAAATATTTTAAAAAAAATCTAAAACCGAAAAAAATTCCCCCAAGCAGAGAGGGTCCGCCGGTGCCGCCACCGCCGCCACAGATGCCCGGTGTCGCCGGCGCCCGCCCCCGATGGCGTCCCTACTACTTCCGCCGCGGCCGGCCACTCCCCTCCTCGCTTCCACGCTCGCCGGTAGCTCCCCTTCAGGCTTCAGCGAGCCGGGACGGCAGGTCCAGCCGTCCAGGATGGCGGCCATCTTGTCGGCGTCTCTGCGCACTGGTATCCTGCTCCCCCTGTTCGACTTGATTTGTTTTTTCCAATTTTACGTAAAATGTAAGCTTAGATTATGTTTACTGAAATTTTATAAATGCTGTCCTTTATTTTTATCAAGGTCTTAATATTTTACATTTAAATTATTTAAGTCTCCATCAATTGTAAATTTATTGTATGTCTTGTGTAACTAAGTCTTTATCAGTTCTAAATTAGAAGTTAGAGCAATTCATTGTTCAATCTTTTATCCAAGTAAGGGATAATGCTTAAAGTTAAACAGGGAATCAGAGGAGTGATGACTGATGAGAGTGGTTAGATTTCCATCAAATGGATGAAAAGAAGTAACTGAACCGAAAACTAGGCAATGAAATTATATATCTTGGGATTGTGATAGCTTTGCTCCTCCACAGTATATATGGTCCTCAAACAGAAGATAACTCTTTGGATAAATCCATTGGCATGTAACCTTAGAGTCAATACAAAAAGGAGATAGAAATTGAGAATATAATCTTATGCTTTCTCAGTATTTGGATTGAATGACTACAGAGCGTATTTTCTATAACCTCTGCAGTGATCCATTATTGCCGAATGCATGGCGCCATGGTGGTATGGATGGCAAGATACGTCTAGAGCAGTACTGAGTACTGATAAAATAGAATAAACAGAAATGCCCTGTACGCATGGAATCAGTGGATCACACTCCAGTCTTTAGCATCATTAGCCTTTAATTATAAACTAATACCAAAGATTAAAAGGCAGAGACTTCAGATCCGTTTCCTTGTGAGAGAGACACAGTTGTTCAGATTCTTTTCTTCACTGTTATCACACAAGCATGCACGTCCCCCAATACCCATCTTTCTTCCTGTTGGTGCTCAAGGTTCCCACCATTAAAAGCAAAAGTGATCAGTCCATAACTAAACATCATTAGTACAAGCAAGTAATCACCTCATCCTCCTCCGATCCTCCAGGCTATCACACCATTCTGCACAGAGGTGGGGACTAGTGGTGCTGCTAGCTGCATTCACTAGCGGCAGCCATGGCCGGAGTTGTGGGGTTGTTGGCCATGGCCGTGGTGAGGGAAGCGGGCGCTAAGCTAGGCACTGCCATTGGAGAGCAAGTGATGATGATGTGTGGCTTCAAGGAAGACCTGGAGGACATGAAGGACATGCTGGAATCCATGGCGGCGGTGCTCAAGGATGCAGAGAGGCGGTCGGTTACGGAGGAGTCGGTGCTGCTGTGGCTGAAGCGGCTCAAGAATGCGGCCTACGACATCTCTGACATGCTCGACGGGTTCCAGGACAAATCGAAGTCTGCAACTTTGCTAGCTTTAGTTGTATCAACTTATAAAGGCACATATACATCTTAATTCATTGCAACACAAGCATCAAGTTTCCTAAAGGCACAAATACATCTTAATTCATTGCAACACATTACTTCCGTTTTAAGTCAGCCCAAACTTTCCGCATGTCAAATATGTGTTGTGATGAGCTGTTATTAGTTTGCAAAACCGATCATGATTCTTGTTTGAGTAAGCCCTGCTGGTAACCTTCGTGTTTGAACTGGTAACCTTCTCGTTGAGTGAGCCCTGCTGCTGCTTTCTCACTTCCCAAGCAGGCAAAGTCAGACTCAGGAGGGAGGGGGCATTAAGTCACATCCATCCTATTTTGTTTTCTCAACGGTTAAGAGATGATGATGCCGTAGAGAACCCGTAGGCACTATTGAAAGGGATTGTCGGGTTCGGCATGTTTATGGGCCGTTGCTGGGTGTGCTGACCATTCTTGTTAGATCAAAACACAACAACCAAGCCTTTTCAAAGTGGGGTGAAGTGTAACAGAAGGAACAAACAAACATGTAGAATGAAATTTTACCCAAATTAGAAGACAAAAAGATAACTATTTTCTATTGTTCTATATGGTTTTCAAAAAATCAAATAAAATCGAGTGAAAGCATAAAACCAAATGGCACTAAAATAATATAAAAAAAAGAGCAAGGTTACCACACTTTCCTTTGCATGAATATGATCATTATCGCATCAAAGTGTTTACAAAGTGCATATAAAACACTCATCTCTAATATGAACTGCAGTCTATATGAAAGAGTAAAGAGTATAAAACCTAGGTTTTCTCTCTATATAAGTGTCTTGCCGAATTACTCCCCCTCTAGTGTTTGTTTATTTACCCACAACCTCTGTCACCCCAAAAATGATACTAAATTTTCAGATGCATTGCGTATTATTCACTGTCATCATGGGACGCAATGTACAAGTTTGATAATTTAGAACAAACGAAATAAACCATTAAATATTACCTTAGTATAAAGATGTTTTAGGCCTGCGCCCAGAGAAAAACAATAGCCGCGAGAAACGGGCCAATGACTCCACTTTATAGGCGCTAATTAGGATATAAGCCACGACTCCTCGTAGGACTTACTTAGCTCTATTATGAAGATGGGACTTGCAAAATGTTGAGTACAAATGTACCCAACAAGGTATAAGCAAAAATGTACATAATGCAAGGGATAGAAGGAATGGCATAATAGGGTTTATTTTCACGTAAATCCATAGTTCAAACAATTCACTGGTTTAAAGCATATGTTTAAACACGACCATGTTCTAAGTCATAATTATGATATCAACCATGTTGCGAACCCACCCAAACCTGCCTAGGCTAAACCACTTGAATATCCATCATGATTTCATCCTCTAGGCTCTTAGCCTGGGAGTAACATTGCTCGGCCTTAACCGTGTAAGGCCGGTGTGTAAGTTGGATACAACTTTATATTGTCCAATGGATGGTATGATGTGGTCTAGCATCCCAGTACTCCACTTTATAGGAACACTAGAATTGGTTTGGTTGAGTAAAATTACCTTGCCATGAAAATGCAAGTAAAAATTGGTTAAGCATTTTAAAAGTATGGTGAATTTATAAAAAAAATACTCTAGGTCACATTTGAATTTTTCTTTGATGGCTTTTATTGTTTGAGATTTTCTTTTTGGTTTTTAATTATTTCTAAAATTATATTTAAAAGATGGTTTTTAATTTGAGGGTAAACTTTTTAGGCGCTACAACCTCCAACACCAAGGACTTCTACTTACTAGGATATGATTCCATCACATTCCAATTCTTCTGCGATATTTCTAAATTTAGAACCCCTCTAAACTTTTTAAATTTGACTCTTTTTCCATAAACGCACACCTCCTATGTACACCATATGGAAACCTTGACTTCACATGCACTGTTCCCTAGCCCGAACGTCCCGTATGATATCCTTAACAGTTTGGACCTCAACTCCCCTTGAGTTTAGTCCTTGATCTTTTCACTAACCGCTCTTCTCTGGCCTCAAGCAACTTGAAACATCAACGAAAGCATATTCAGAGCACAAGTTAATCCCAACTTGACTCAAATTTGTGCGACAATGATTCCTTTGCCCCAAAATGTAAGCATTTCTAGAGGTTTTCACAAAACTTAAGGAAGTGGGTAGAATTGAATGTTGGAATATTGTGATTGGTTGATAAGAGATTCTAGATAGAGATATTTAATAGGAGATAGTTGTGATTGATTGAGATGAAGGGATAGCTGGAGAAATAGCTATATTTTTGGACAAATTTAAACTCTATGAATAGCTACATTTTAGGACTGAGGGAATACGTAACATACATAATCATTATAAAAACATAAATACTAAAATCACCTTAGATCAAAATCTTCACAACTTAAACTCATCAATGAAATTCTTTGCTACATCTACATGTGATCCACCAATGATGGTGCAAGATGACACGGTTTGGCCGAGCATTCTTTTCAGATGAGCATTCTTCCCACTAACAGTGTAGTCAGGCTGAGCATTATTTTCGGTCCTTCCATACTAAAGGCGCATTTGGGCCGATCCACTGATCTCACCAGCTAAGATGAGTTGTATATTGCTTTAAGTCTAGGTCCATCAATGACTAGTTGTCCACCCTCCTTGGATTCAAGCCAACGACAGATATAGCTTGATTGATTGGTGGCAGTGTCCTACTTGGAAGCGTCTCTTCTAGTGGTGGAGATTGAGGCAGATCAGCTACTGTGGACCTATGATATGATGTCAATCAAGCCTTAATATATACTGGTTGGATCTGCCACTAAGATATGGCCTATACTGGTTGGATCTAGTGGTGTGATCTAGTTTTTATTGGTTAGATTCAATGTAAGAAGTTTGTCTTGAGGTGTGGCCGGGCATCGGTACCTCCTCTAAAGTGAAAATCCTAGGTGTGGCCTTCATTGTTTGAATTTGGCGACGGTTTCAACCTAAGCGGCTTGTCCTTCTTGAAGACGTTTCATGGACAATTTGGTACTGGTGGCTCTGTTTGAGAACTCTTTTGACTTGTCCTTCACTACTTTGGATCTTGTGAATGATATAAGTCTTATCTTTCTTTATGTTGTTGCTACGAAGGTATAGACTTCAAAACCTCATTGCTTCATAGCCATCGTGATTGTTAGGATCTCTTGATTGGTCCTAAGGATAGGGCAAAGTGGTTATTTTTAGGTAGCCTCTATGACAATTTGTTTGCCATGTTGATGGTATTGTTTACTGCTCTTGAAATAAGCTTTATGCTTCGTGGTGTAATGGTTGTGTGTATCCCTTGTTCGTGTAGAAGCCAGAAGTGCCTCCATTATAAGAAAGAGAGACGCTCCGGTGCCCTCTACTTGCAGTATTCTACTCTAAGTAGAATTAATCTCGACCGTTTATTTTAAAGGGTAAATTAGTAAAGTGCTAAAACCGAATAGGGGTAAATCTGGCACTTAATTTTTTTCTCATTTGTGCGTCCTATGGTCAAGCGTCGCTCGATCCCTCTCCATCGAACAGCAGAGTCGCTCTCCATCAAAAAGGAGAGCGCAGGGAAAGAAAAAGAAAAGCAGATCGCGAGGTCCGGCCACCGCCGGCGCTTGTGCATCGCGTTCCATAGATGTTTCTTGCTGTAGGTATTTGGTTTCCATTCAGCTTGATTGTTTCATGTAAAATTTAAATATATTAGTTATATATCTGAATATTACACACGATGGACAAATCGAAACACTCCAATCCAGCAATGACAGATACAAGGCAACGGAAGAATAATCCGGTATGTTTTTTTACGTAGACTTTACAATTGCAATTACAACAAGTAATATACATTGAACCACGTACAAAAACGATGATATACACAGATAGGCACTTTCAAAACCACAAGCTGTTAATAAGCTATAGTTTTGAAAAAAAAAACATGGCCATCAGTAACAAGCCAAAGCCACCCAAAGCCATCTTGAGATAATGAATTCACAGGAATTACAGGACATAGCACACCAGGAATCTCTCAAGCGTTGATTGACGTAGTGATCATTAGCTTGTCCACCTTGTCATGCTCAGCCATTCTGAACAAGCTCACTTGCTCCGGATTCAGTTTACTGGCATTCAACTTGAATCCCTTCTTCTAGGAGAAAAAATTATGACCAAGAACTGCAGAACTTGAGTAGACAAGCAGAAAAACTATTCGAGAACTAGAGGCCAACGAAAAAGAAGATTCAGTGCAGATGTTCGAGCTGCAAACCTACAAGCAGCAAGAAAAACAAATCAAATCTGACCTGCAAAGCAGAAAAAGAGTCTTCTCATGTCAGCTAATCCGTTGGAGAGCAGCGCTATAGCCAGCGAGAGGAGTCTTGGATGATGATTCGGAGGTCGAGAGATTGGTGGTCATTGGCTCCGGAGGTTGCGGGTTCCGCTTGGGAGGCGATGGATTGGGGGCTCGCCCTCGCGGCTGTGGGATCAACGGCGGGTGGAGATGGATAGGGCTGGAGCCGAGCGTGGGGGAGGAGGCCGACGACGAGGAAGGGGATAGCGAGGTGGACGAGGTCTCGGCGGCGGCCAGTGGCACGGTGCTGGGTCGGAGGCGGAGATCCGGGAGGCGAACTCGTCGGAAGGTGGGCCGACGCGGGGGAGCGGCAGAGAGGGCGCAGCTCTGGCGATCCCAGACGGAGATGCGAGCTCGTCGAGGGCGGCTGAGGCAGCCAGTGCGACGGAGGCGAGGGAGTAGGAGGCGTCGAGGGCGGTGGAGTAGGCGAGGTCGTCAAGGTGGTGATGGGAGCCGCGGGGTTCTCTCCGCATCGGCTCCAGATGCGCGATTCCGGAAGGACGAAAATATCCCTCCACAGATAATTTTTCCTGGATAAAAGTACCCCTCCACGATTCTACTACCACTAAGTGTGGTGGTAGTAGAAATAGATCTGAACCATTGGATCAAATAAGATCAATGGTTCAGATTTTTTTCTACTCTAGGTAGAAGGCACCGGAGTGAGACTCTATAAGAAAACCAAGAATACTTATGAAAGTCAATACGATTAGTTGAGAGTGTAATCATAACTAGTGTCATTTTGCTATCAGTACCTCACTCAAAGCTTTAAGAAATTGTCGATCCTTTCCAAATTTAATATGGACTAGTTGTTATATATAATTCAACAAGAGGTTACAAAGCTAGATATGTTCTTCCATGATTTTCTATTTCACCTGAACATACAGATAATATCATTTTTTTCCTAGATGAAGACGATGCTCTCTTGTTTTGCAATTGCACCCAAGATTTCCATGGCTAATAAGATGAAAAAGATGAGAGATCAACTGAGAAAGATCAAAGAGGGTCATGAGGCTTTTAGACTCACACCTGACTCCACACCATATAATGAGCATCACCGTCCTGATCCACGAGAAACAACATCGAAGGTGATTCAATCGTCCATCATTGGGAGAGACAAAGAAAGAAAACAAGTTGTGTCTTTGCTATCAGCAAGTGACGAGGAAGACACAGTAATTTTGCCAATCTATGGGTTTGGAGGCATTGGGAAAACAGCTTTAGCCCAACTGGTTTTCAATGATACCCAGTTCAGAGGTTATGACCACAGGGTATGGGTCTATGTGTCCCAGGTATTTGACTTGAAAAAAATAGGGAACACCATTATTTCTCAAGTGTCAAATGAAGGAAATAAGAATGAATATACCAGGGAGAATATAAACGGACGCCTTTGTGATCTATTAGAGGATAAGAATACTCTGATTGTTTTGGATGATCTATGGGAAACAAATGATTTTCATTTAAATGAGTTGAATCTTATGCTAAATACAAAAGGCAAAATAAAAGTCTTGGTGACAACACGCAATGAAGACGTTGCAAAGAAAATTTGCACACATAAACCATATAGGCTAAATCCCCTGGACTCTACCATGTGTTGGAATATAATTAAGCAACGCAGTAATTTAGAAGCTAGAGGTGATAAAGACCAAATCGAGCAAGTCGGATGGGTCATTGCCAAGAAATGTGGAGGCATAGCATTAGCAGCCCATGCACTTGGTTTCTTGCTATCTGGAATGGACCTTGTGGAATGGAGAGCACTGAGCAATAGTGATATTTGGACTGAAGCTTTTTCTGATAATTCAGTGTTGCCATCCTTGAAACTAACTTACAAGAATATGCCACCATATTTGAGATTATGCTTTGCCTACTGCGCCATCTTCCCTAAAGGTCACAATATAGCTAAAGCAAGTCTGGTTCACCAATGGATTGCTCTTGGTTTTATTGAGCCATCTAAAACATTTTCATCCGTACGACTTGGCGAGAAGTATATCAGACAACTTGTTGGGATGTCTTTCCTTCAGCGTTCCATATTGCACACTGTGAGTTATCATATACCTCAATAGGGAAGCAATGTTTTGCCTGTCTTAAGTCAATTATAAAGTACCATGCATTTGTAAATAACTAATAATTATAAAAAATGAGTCCGAGCATACTCAGCTGCAAGGCTAACACATTACATGTACGCATGTTTACCCCAAATAATATGTTAATTGTATTAGAAGTAGGGCTTGTATAATTTATCTTGTCAAGTATGTTTATATCTTTTGGGATATTAAGAGCTTTGCCTTTCTAAAATAAGAAATGGAAATGTGAAGAAGTTGTTACAAGTACCGAATAATGCCCATTAACATAACGAGAAAGGTCATATTTGCCACATACTTATTATTTACTCTACAGTTCACTGAATTATTACTAAAACTGAAACTAACAAAAAAATGATAGTACTTTACATTGCCAAAAAAAATATATTTAAATTTATAATATTTAAGAGATCAAACACAATTCGTATTGATGATTTTGTTAGGTGTGTGTTTATAATGAACCTGATGGTACTTTACATTTTTCTTTGTTCATGTAAGGAACAAGAAGTTTTCACCATGCACGATATGGTTCATGATGTTGCGAGATCGGTCATGGATGAAGAGTTGGTTTTCTTTAATGACACAAAAATTAGCAGTACCACAGAACAAAAATTTTGCCACTATGCTTTGCTTGAAAATTATAGCAAGTCATCAAATCTATCAACTATATTGCCTGCCACGTTAAGGGCAGTACATACTTCGAATTGCAGCAAATTGGTGCTCCAAGGTGATGAATTTTCATTCACAAAGTTCTTGCGTGTTCTAGATTTAACTGACTGCTCCATAAGGATCCTCCCAAGCTCTATTGGCAAATTGAAGCAGCTGAGGTTTCTTATCGCTCCAAACATAGGAGATAATGTGTTCCCAAAGAGTATTACTCTGCTCCCAAAACTAAAATACCTTGACCTCCATGGATCTTTTCGAATTTCAGCATTGCAAGGATCAATTAGCAAACATGCTTGTCTGATACATCTTGACCTATCTGGTTGCTCTAATATCAGAGTTATACAGCCAGAAGCTCTATGTGGCCTCACCAAACTGCAGTTTTTGAACTTATCGTGGTGCTCCATTCTTCAAATACTGCCAGAAAATATTGCAAGTCTTACTGAACTGCAATATTTAAACTTATCAAACTGCTTCCTTCTCAGCCAATTACCATCTCATATTGGGAGCCTCACTGAACTACAATATTTGAACTTATCAGGTTGTCAGGGCCTTGTAAAATTGCCAATGTCGTTTCGGAATCTGAAGAATTTGGTACATCTTGACCTGTCAGGCTGCTCCAGGGTACAAGATTTCAAACAAGTCTTTGGTGGGCTCACCAAACTGCAGTACTTAAACTTATCAAAGATATTTGGTAGAACCAGAGTGGGTGATAATTGGGATGGTTATCCTGAAACTATCAGTACTCTTAATGATCTTGAGTATCTAAACCTTTCTCGGAATAGCAGGATTGATTATCTACCAAGAAGCCTTGGAAACCTCAAAAAGCTTCAAACATTGGACCTTTCATACTGTCGGTCTCTGAGATCCCTCCCACACAGCATAGAATTAATTGACAGTCTGGAGTTTCTAATAGTTGTGGGGTGCTCAGATCAACTTAAGGAGTATTTGAGAAAATCTCAATTCAAGAATATTCCAATATCATTACCACACTTCATTGTTCACTCTATTTCTGGTGATTCCCGCAGCAACCTTCATATGCTTGAAGATATAAATCCTGTCAGACTTGAAATAAGCTGTCTTGAAAATGTGAAGTCCATAGAAGAAGCACGAGGAATTGAGTTGTCAGAGAAACAAAATCTTTCAACATTGACATTTCATTGGACTTCAAGGGCTGACCGACTTTTGGAGGACAAGGATGTTTTGGGAGAACTAATGCCACCAAGAGGTCTGTGGAATTTAAGCATACAAGGGTATGATAGCACAACCTTCCCAACTTGGTTTGTAGGCATCTCACATCATCTTCCAAGTCTTGTTAAGATTGAGTTGAAGGATTTGCACAGATGCAGACACCTGCCACCACTGGGACAGTTGCCAAACCTGAATGAAGTGCATCTCCAACAGATGGACAGTCTCACAAAAATTGATGGCGGTTTCTGCGGTGGCGACAAAGGCGCATTCCGCAAACTGAAAGTCTTCACCTTGAGGGATATGAAACAGTTGGAAGAGTGGAGCACCACAACACACAGTAAAGGTGGTGAGGATAGCATAGAGTTCATGTTCCCTATGCTAGTTACACTGTCAATAGAGCTTTGTCCAATGCTTAGACTGAAACTATGCCCACCGATGTTTCACAGCTGGCTCATATCAGAGAGCGACAAGGTTATATCTTCATGGGGTGAGATCAGACACCAACCTGCAGCCAGTGTCAGCCATTCCTTCTCTTCTTCTTCCGACACCAACTTGGAGATCAAAGGAGTAGGGGTTGCAGCGGACGAGTGGAGGCTGCTTCACCACCACCCCACCCTCCAACAGCTGGAGATCTCCTGGTGTAAAAATCTTTTGCATCTTCCAGACGCCATCCGACATCTTCCATCACTATCTTATCCAAATTCCTAATCCGTATTTTCACTACATATATATACTCGTATACTCCCTCCGTCCCAAAAAAAATTTAAATCCTAGGGATGAATCTAGATATACATGTGTCTAGGTTCATTCCTAGGATCGATTTCTTTTTTGGGCAGAGGGAGTACTGCTTAATTATTTCACATCACATCAAACAAAATTGAAAATGTCTTTGCTAAGCAGTGTTGTCTTATGTTTAGGCTGTCGACACGGGTTTAACGGAGGCTCTGATGAAGATTTTCGCTGAAGATTTCATGCCTACCGACTCTTCAGAGTAATTGTTCCTTTTGGTCGAAAGTATGCAACAGGCAAGTCTACAGTAACCTGGTGTTGTTCCATTGATGTACACTCCATTTCATAATTTCAACATGATTCACTATTATCAACTGATGCCACTCTGTATAAGATTATGCGTGTTTTCCTATAGTCCTTAAAAACCAACTAGAAGGCATGAACTATCATGATAACTGTATGTCTCTTTCTTCCAAGACCTGTTGTGTTTGTGTCGTGGTTGGCATTACCTACCAGGGGCACGCCAAACGCATGATGTGGCACCACAGTAGCCAGAGGCCAGTAGGGCTAGTTATCAATTCAATTTGTTGCATTAGTTTGGATCCTTTGAATGTTTTATTACATTCTATTGTTAGGCGCTAGTAATTTGAAAATCACATGAGTAATAAATAGATAAACAAGTGTTATAAATCTATCTCTCTTTTTGTGGATTCTCTTCTTCCTTGTGCAACCTTCCCCCCTGCACATGTTCCTGCTATCCTCACTACAGGGTATGCAATTTTCACCAACAATGACCAAGTAATAATAACCCAAGGATTCAGAATTGCCATCCGTGATTACCAAGTCACAAACCATGCAAAAAAAAACCTGGTTGTTTTATAGTCCCCAATTGTACAAGTTGTTTTGTTACTTTCATCTAAGGGCTTGTTCGGTTAATCCCTAACCGTTGCCGGGCTTGTTGGGAAGGGATTTACCAAACAAGCCTAAACAGGAATAGGTAAGTATACAGAAAATTTGATTTGCTTTAACTTGCACTGTTGGAAATTTAAGTGTATAACACCCAACTGGACAGCTGGAAATTTAAGTCCTCAATATTTTTCCAGTTATATCCCCTCAGTTTCGTGATTTGAATTCTTTCCTCTTTGACTGCTCATGTATCTACCGTATGTTCTATACGTCCATGGCTCCTACATTGTTTTCTTGGCAATACTGTGTTGCTCCTTACATAATATAGGCCATTTCTGCCATAAAATAGTTGTTGGGCATGCTTGTCAATAAGCAATAATTTCTATTACATAACAGTGTAAATTAATCTTGCCATCTCATGCCAATGTTTATTTTTTGTTTGTGAATGAACAGTCATCTCAAGCTCAGAGTTTGGTATATGACATATCCCAAAAAGAACAGCCTGTGAATCAAATGATCATGTAGATTGTGGTTTTGATCATGATTATCTTGGAGACTGGTTGTGATATTGATGATGCTATGCTTCGTTGAAATTACACTATTGACATGCATTCAACTATGTTGAAACTTTAGAGCCAATTATCAAGACAATTTCATTTTATACTGATAGTTTAGAGTTCCATAAGTTAGGAATTTATGCTGTATTAAGTCAATGTTTGGTCATTTTTGTGAAAAAAATGGGCACTAGGAAGTGTACAGTAAGTAGTGCGAAATTCTTGTACCTAATGCAATATTAATTGATTTATTGCTCAAACCTTGAGCCAATGAATCTTGTTGGTGGTGTCAAGCACAACTACGATAAATGTCAACTGCATTACTCAAAATTGCGTAAAGAAAACGAAGAAAATCTTTTTTACTTACATCAAGAAAGTGTGATGGTTATAACCACTCTCACATATTACTGTGGTTGATGTAAGACAAAAAAGAAATCGTTAGAATAGGTGTCCGAATATATGAGTCATGTTTGGTTACACTTAGGCTCAAAGTTATAATTGTGATATAGGATACATATTTCATCAATATCGCAACCATGACTCATACCCTATGGTGCAGGGTAGAGAGGTTGGCGGCAACAGGTCAATCATACTTGCGGTGGTAGAGTAGAGTAACAAGATCAGCAGAACAAAATTTGGGTAAGGCCGATGGGGTTCGTCAAGCTTTGTGGTGTGTCAACACGTCGTGCAAGTGCTGGATGAGGGTGTGCGTTTACAGATGGCTCACGGCTTCCAAATCGGCAAGGACGTGGATCGATTCGGAGTAGGTGTGTGTGCACACAAGGTTCTGAAGCAGTGCATCGAAGGGCGTAATGGTACTAAATTGGAAGGATGCGAGGTGATCTAGTTGGTTTGGCTAGGGTAGATACGAGTACGTGTGATTTTTTTTTATATTTTAAACCTTTTAAAAATAATATTATTTTATTAATAGACCCTATAAAACTGCCACACCATTTTTGAAAATGAACCTTTTTAGCTAGTGTGAATAACACTGGCATGCCATTTATGAGAACCCTAATGAAATCCTGCCAATAACAATCTTGGGTATCGATGTCAACCTGTACCACTGTGCCAATGTTCTTGGTAATCTCCTTCCCATGGCTTCTGTTCATCAGACGAGGCGGAAGTGCGACAATTTTGGCCTAAATAGCCAATCTGTGAAAACTGACACGAAGCGGATTAACATCCGCATCGTACTTCTTGAGAATCACAGCATGCTTGCCCACCATCCACGGTTTCTATCCGCATCCGTCCTGAATTCCGTGACAAATAGGTTGTTCCCCATCGAATTGAACAATAAACCCCGCGAATCTTCCGCGTCGGGCACCCGATAGGGGAGAAAAATCAAGCGCCACGCCTCCGCGCCCCCACCACGTGCGCCCATTGCAACATTCGCCCGGATATAACGGAAACGCCCTATTAAGGACATTCTACGGCAGCCGTAAGCCGTAGAAGAACCATCATGTCCTTGATGCGACCACTCACAACTACAACCGCCGCTGCCATGGTCGGCACGACTTTCGCCATGTCAGATTGGATTGGTTCCCAAGAGCCACTGAACCTCTCCAAGGTTGGGTTCGAGGTCACCGCCCACACATTATCCACCTCGCTGATCCTCACATCCGCCACACACCACCAAATAACCAAGGGCAGACAACAATGCAAAGATCACCCCGAATTGACACTACAAGAGATCTTATGATAGGTGACGTTTCATTTACGTCACAAACATTGAATTTTTCATCATGTTCCGTAATCTGTGACGCTCCCGTGACGAAAATCCATTCGTCACCTATCATGCGTCTCTAATGATGTTCTATGACGAAACCTTATTTTTTCGTCATTAATCTAGTGACGATCCTTCTGTCTTCTGTCGTCATAAGTCTATGACGTCCGTTTTCGTCACCATCAAGCCCAAAAATCGTCATAAGATGCCATGTGGCCTGTTAAGGCCCATGTAGTGAGCAATATGATTATGGGCTTAGCCCAATGGCAAGCCCAACTAGATTTTAGCTTGGCTCATCTATGATGTAGGACATTTTCAGCCTGTTTATGGGCTGTTTATGGGCTGAGCCCAATTGAGGATGGATTTATACACTATTTCAGCCCAATTTTATTAATCCATTTACAGTAGTATCAAAAAAGATGAGTGGGCCAAGCCCATTTTGAAAGACAAAGGCCCAAGCAATATACCCAATAACAAACATATAGCACAAAGATTGTAGCCCAGTTAAAATCCAATAAAATTCAGTTCACATATGATACATTGCAAATACATATGGGCCGACCCATTCACATATTCAAATACAATCACAAGTTTGATAAAAAAATAGATTACAAGGTAACTTGCCAAAACAAAATACATCAGTACATTGACCATGCATATCCAGCCATAAGTCACTGACCAAAACAAAGTCACATGTCCACATGGGCCGACCCAACCATGTCCAAATACAATCATAGGTTCACTTACCAAACACAATGTCACGTATCGAAATCACACCAACATACTGCCATCTCTTCATGAATCAGCAAGACAACAAACCTTACCTCTGAAATTACATGCAAACAATTTGTAAATGCATGTTTAGTTTCAGCTGCTGAAAGAGAAAATTTACAATATCTAATCTAAACTACTTATTTATGTACATAACCATGAACAAAGAATTCAAGTACACTGCAAACTACTTGAACAGATCAAAGGTAACTTATGCATAAAGTAGACCATGGAGTTATACTCATTTCTCATATAACAGTAAAAAAGAAGCGAAGCAATTTACTGGTATCTTACCATGGCATGTCAATGAGATCCTGTCCTTTGCTGTGTTTCACAGTTAAAAGGAACATGGAACAGTAGAATAGTATGGAACATTCTCATGGTTAAGTTTCTTTCACACTTGTCCTATAGAAAAGCAAACATTAGTAGCACAGTATTTGTAACCACAACCATACAAAACTTTGAACCCCCGCATGTGGCCATACAAAGCTTTGAACCCCTGCATTGCAAATTGAGGCACAGGCATAGGCATAGGCATTGCAAATTGAACATATAGTACTAGTAAGTACCTAAATAGAAAGAGAACATAGGCATAGCAAATCAAAACAATAGAGTTATACATGCCAAGACATGTGAGACATATGCATAGTAATGTAAGCCTACTGCAAGCAGAACCCCTCCCCCTTCCCTCTACGACAAAACAAACTGAATTGCAAACTCAATTGGATGTGTACGTAGTGCTTTATCGACAGATTTTCAGCCATTGTAACAGTAAAGTGTGGATGATAAAAAAAATCATATATGGTGAACACATATTATGAAGCTACTATTGGGTATGTTTTCGGTTCAGATTACAGGGTAGTTACATGGATCTGATTTCAGTAGAACCCAAACATGAAACCATGGCTAATTTTTTATGCTCTATTATTATATTGGATATGTGCTAGGAAGATTTCTGGGATGTGTGAAAGATTTAACTAATGTTCTGTAGTCATCATTAAGGTCATGATGCTACACAAAGCACTTCCAGCCCTATATATCTGATCACACTAACAAAATGCAGCTACAAGTACCCAACACATAAGTTATTTATATCAGAACTTAAAAGTACCCTTCTATGTAAAAGCTAACATCCCAAAGAGAATAAGAATCACCTTTGTCATAAAAGGTGAGCACATGTAATTATACAAGACCAAAAAGTTGTAATTTAAACAGAAGTGCTGAGACTATTGTTTATATAGATAGCTAGATCATTGTGCGTGCTAACCTTGGAAAAAAAGGAATAGTTTTCACCACCCAGTTACTACCTTCTTCAGATCTCACCACCCAGTTACTAAAACCCTGCAACAAACAGAACCCAGTTAGTTGAAAAAAAAATAGCTAGTTGATGAAATTTGCTATATAACAAAATGTTATTTTCCTACACAGTCGAATCGCTTCTGAAAAGATGGGTGCAAATTTTAGTTTGTCATAAGGCTGAAAATTTGCTTACAAAACAACTCATGGTCAATGCTAAATAAATGAAAGTCATCTGTACTGACTGATGTTTTGGTAACATAAGAAAGTTTTTTTTTACTGAAATTTGAGAATTGAACTAACCTATATTGACTGAAACATACAAACAAAACTATTTCGATAAACTAACCTATATTGACTGAAATTTGATAAGGACCTCTACTTGCTGAATTTGCTAAAATATAAAACCTAACTACTATGCAGAGTTTTGTTTCTCCCTGAACTAGTGCTCTATATGCCCTACAGTATCTACTCCTACTTTGTCCAAGACAATTCTACTGCATTTACAAAACTAATATATACTTTCTGAAATTTGTTAACAGAACTAATATGTACTTGCTGAAATTTACAAACTACAAAAATAACTGCTGACAAAACCAATACCCATTTTGCATACAAAACAAAAGACTGAACATGGGTATATAATTTAGTTTGTAAGTACACTTGATTGCTCTAGACCATAATTAAAAAATAAACTGATAGGAAACCTAACCTAACATAATTTGTCATATTCCTCTGATTATCTCCACCTGCACATCACACATTTCTGAAATTTTCAGTTCAGATCGGTTCAGCATTTTGTAACAAAGAAACTAAGCATGCTCAGATATCAGGGAAAACGATATATATATACTTTCTTCTGAAAGATGGATGGTTTCTGAATTCTGATGAGATTAACAAACAAGGCTTCAATTTGATTACAAGTCAAGAATTATGTTACTGTGAGGTTAGGTGAGGTGAGGAATGCAAAAAATGCAAATTGCTTCTGGTGGAGAGTTAGACAGTGATAGATGTGAAGGACTTTCTCCTTTTCCGCAACAACAAACAACATATATTGCAGATCTTCAGAGCAGTACACTGCTGCTGTGGCTGTGTCTAAATGCCTCCTATAAAGTTATACTAGTACCCATATATGCATGCACAAAAGATGCGCACGCACACACGCAGACAAATCCAAGTGATGACTGATGCTGATGCCTGATTCCTTGTGGTGGTTTGCAGTGATGGCATTTCACTAGCTATAGCTACCTTCTCCTCCTCTCACATGACAGATCGATGCCCCAACCAACCAAACCTATATATTAGTAAAGCTATAGCTACCTTATCGTCGGCGGCACCGGATCCGCGCGGGGCGGCCGAGCCGCCCCGCCGCCGCGGTGTTGAGGAGGGGGGAGGGTCGCCTTATCATCGTCGTTGTCAGCAGCGGTGAGGAGGGGATGGCGGGCCGCCGAGCCGAGGTCGCCGAGCCGCCGCCCGTCGCCGCCGTAGCCGCTCCCTATGGCGGCGGATCCGGCCCTCCCGAGGGCGGCGCCGCCGGATCCGCCGCCCGCCGACGCCATCGCCGCTCCTGCCCGAGGTCGCCATCCGCCGCCGGCACCACCCGCGTCGTCGTCATCGTCGCCCACTCGTCGTCGCCGTCGTCGGGGTCGGCGTCGTCGTCGTCGGGGTCGCCGCCGCCGCCGCCACCACCACCGGGGAGGAGCGGCCGCGCGCGGAGGGCAGCCCGAGCGACGGGGGCGCCGAGAGAGGAAGAGAAAGAGAGGGAGAGGAGAGAAAGAGTGAGAGAGAGAGAGAGGAAGAGAACGTGTGAGGACTGAGAAGGGGAAAATATCAGGGGGGAGAGAGAGAAGGGATAGAGAGATGAAATTTTTGAAGTGGTGTGGAGGGAAAATTTTCATTGAAATTTCGAATCGATTTTTATAGTACTAAATCAACTCATATAAAAAAGTAAAAAATAAAGTTGTACAACTCATTAAGATCTATCAATTTCGTTTTGGTCATTTCTCCATCCGAATTTGATTGAAGTATATAAAATTTGAATTTTAAAATATAAGAAATTCAAATAACTTTTTGGATAGTAAATGATTTCAAATAAGAAAGTTGTCAACAACAAAGTTGTATAACTTATCAAGATCTACAACTTCTGTTTTGGTCATTTTTCTATATGACTTTGTTTGAACAGTATGAATTTGAATTTCAAATTATGACAACTTCAAACAATATTTACAAGTACTTAAATGATTTCAACTGAAAAAGACATCAATAACAAAGTGGTATAACTCATCAAGATATATAAATTTTATTTTGGTCATTTCTTCATCCGACAAAGTAATAGTAATATTGTTTATAAAATTTGTATATCTCTCTTATAGTTTTTCTTCATCCGATAAAGTGATTTGTAACATTGTTCATAAAATGTAGATATCTCTTATATAGTGTATAAACTATAAGAGATATATGCAAATTTTATGAACAATATTACTATTACTTTATCGGATGAAGAAATGACCAAAATAAAAGTTATAGATATTGACGAGTTATACAACTTTGTTGTTGATGATTTTTTTAGTTGAAATCATTTATTATTTGAAAATACTGTTTGAAGTTGTCATAATTTGAAATTCAAATTTAAATTATTGAAAACAAAGTCATATAGAAAAATGACAAAAATAAAAATTATAGATATTGATGAGTTATACAACTTTGTTGTTGATGAATTTTTCAGTTGAAATCATTTAGTATTTAAAAATATTATTTGAAGTTGTCATAATTTGAAATTCAAATTCAAATTATTGAAACAAAGTCATATAGTAAAATAAACAAAACAAAAGTTTTAGATCTTGATAAGTTATACAACTTTGTTGTTAAGAATTTTTTCATTTGAAATTATTTACTACCCGGAAATTTATTTGAATTGAGAGGAGGGACTCAAAATGGACTTCTCGGTGAGGGAGGAGCAAAAGGGCTGGGCCAGCGGCCCAAAGAGGGAGGAGGGGAAGGGGAAGCCGGCCCAAGGAGGGTGAGGGAGGCTATGGGTGAGGAGGGAGAAAGTAACACTTGGGCCGAAAAAGGCCCAAGGAGAGAGAGGGAATTTAATTTGTTTTCCATTTATTTTAATAGGTTAAATGAAATTTGTGGTATTAAAATTAGTTATTGAGCTCCGAAAATTCACTGAAAATTTCATAGAATAATTTAGAACATGTAGAATATTAAAAAAATATTTCTAGCCATGATTTTTAAAGGAAAATTTTAGTTTCCTCATTAATTCACTTGATTAAATTGCTTTAACTTTTAATATATTTTTTTTAGAAATGCATTATATAAATCTGTGACGTTTGCTATTTGGCGCTTATGACAAATTAATATTCGTCACAATGTCCCATTGAAATACTTTATGACGATTTCTAGTTGGTATTAACAACGAACACCTTTTTTTCGTCACTAAGCCACCCCATCTCATACTAATCGTCATAAAATGGAATGTGCTAATGACGAATAGCTCAGACGTCATGAGAAATTTGTCACAGAAGGTCATATTTCTTGTAGTGTGATGTAATGCAAGAGTGAGTAAACCAGCAGTCAGGTACCAACAGGCAGGTCCCAAGAGGTAGGAAGAGGAGAGAAACGTGATCAAAATCACGATCTCGGAAGTTCTTGACCGAGCAACCATCAAAACACCGCCGGGGCATCATGGAACCCTAGGAGAATCATCACACCACCTCTGTTTTGCTGCAATTAAGCCTACTCAACTTTCCATGGATCAAGGATCCTATATTAAAGAGCGTAAGTGGGTCAGTTCACGAACCCTCATATACTACTAAATAGATAATTATTTATACTACGAATAGATTCATGGACAAACCCACTTGTTCCCTACCCACAAACATCGCACAACTAACCTGCCATGTCAGGGTAAAAAAAAAGAACGATTGAAGTTAGTGGAAGGCCCACTATAAGCAGGGAAACTACCTGGCTGGCCGCTGGCCCAAGCCACCCCGTACCCACGCTGGCCCACCTCACCCAACAAACCGAGGCCTCCCTACCCTCCCTCACTCGGGTGCAACCTAGCCAGCCTAGGATGCTAGAGCATTATCTTCCACCTCCAGCCGCCCATCTCTCTCCCTCTCGGAAGAACCCTAGCGCTCTCGCCCTTCTTGATCCACCTCCTAGAGCGTTTCCTCTTTTGATTGAACGCGAAAATCAGTTTCCATTTCCCTTAATTCTCCCCCACTCAATCAAGTCTTTGATCACCCATAACCAATGACTTTACTCCCTCCGACGAATCAAAGCCATTGATGACGACATTCGAGCTCCACGGTGTCTCCCTCCCTTCCCCTATGTGCTATAAAAGGAGCCCGCAACCTCCTCTTCACCTTCCTGATGCTGTTCGACAATCAGACGTGGACGTGGAGCATGATCTAACGACGTAACAAGAAAAACACCGAACGGGATACTGTTGATGGACGGAGGATGGTAGCAGCTTTTAAAAATTTTTAAGTAGGTAAAAAGTATCATGTTATTATAAAATTTATGTGCTATCACATTCAATATTATAAACACCATTCTAGTACTGGGGATTGGCGTCAGCGGGAACTAGGCACTACTTGAATGCCTGGTATTGCGTGGTCCAATAAGTCCACGTACCTCCAAGAGAAAATGTTGTGATTAAACCAACTTGGTCCTGGAAACATGGCTAGCTACATAGTACAGACTAGTCGTGCTTTATTTTTCTAGCATATCTAGCAGAGCAATTATTATTTTTAAAAATAACTAGCATAGCAATATAGTGACAGTTGTGGGTTCTACCTCATATATAAAATTTAATCTTGTCACCTTATTTATATGATTATATCAGTTGCATCATGTAGTTTAATTAACCCGTCTTTTTAATACTTTCATATTTTGGGCTACGTGTATTCGTCCGACACGTATAACATATTTTTCTGCAGGGCTGTTCAGTAGGCAGCGGCTGCGGCAGCGGCTGCGCTGTTGTCTTGTGTTTGTGGCATTCTTCTACTGATTGGAGCGCAGCTGCAAACTTATGTAGCAACCAAGCAGCTACAGCTCCTATTTTACTATCCCCATGTGAAAATATTTAACACATCAGACAATAAATTCTTATAGGTCTACCCACTTTGTCGAGAAAAAATCCTTTATGCAGCCTGGAACATTTGGAAACAGAGGAACTCCCTAATTTTTCAGAATTTACCAACCTCAATTTCTTCCTGGAAAGCTCTCTTTAAGAGTGATCTGTCCCTTTTAATTTTTAGATTAAATGTTTATAAGAGACGGTTCCTTTTGAATTGGTTAAATCTCTTGTAATTTTTGTTCGTTAATAAAGTTTTTTACTGTGGGGGCTTCCCCTACCTTGTTTTCCCTTAAAAAAAATATTTAACGACGATACCGTTACAATTGGCATTTGTGTCCCATTTTTTTTTACTGGACGGAGAATCTTCCAAACGCTGTTGAATTGGTCGTGCACAATCTACCAGCCCCATCATTTGACTTACTTGAGTGGCATATTTACAAACAAAAAATAATTTATTAATAAAATTTTTATATGTATGTTCTTAGTAATTTAAAAGAAATGCTGAAAAATAAACTTCGTTGAAAAATTTTAAAATCAACTTTAAATTTAAAGTTGAAGATTCAAATTTTAATTTATAAGCATGAATATAAACATAAGCGATAAGCGAAAAGATAAGGCCTACATTTTACATACACCATCCTATGCGACATCGGGTACTCTCTAAACATGTTTGGACATTGTGAGAAAGAGATTTCCCACGCTTGAAAAATTTTCGGAGGCAACAAATGCTTTAAAAAAACACTTAACACGCACACATTAACCACAAAACACGCAGATGGACATTGAATCTACTCCTAATTTAAACATGCCGACCTGGGCACAACACAACATGACAACAACAGTAAACATGTTCATCGCGTTCCTTTTTTTCTTTTTACTGCACGTATTATATATTATAGTATAGATTCCGTAAGGAACCTGTGTTCACACACAGCATCCAAATATAAAAAGGTGATAGAATACAAAAGAGGAAAGGGTGATTTGAGAAAGCATATGTAAGCTTCTAGAAGAATCCTGGTTGGTGGGTGCACTCGTGGTCTCGTGCCTGCGCTGCTTTTGCTGTGTCAGAGCAAGATAATAATAGAGCCGACTTCCTACTATTAGCCAATTTTAAAGCCAACACATATAATAGATTAGTTATAAGTTTGGCTACAATTTTCTTCTTCTCTCTATGTCTCACTTATACATTAATTGTATTTGTCTAGGAGGTTGTGTTAAGCTAGCTCTTGTATGAGAGCCAACACCCTTAACTTTTTGTCACATCTCTCCTCTACATAAGCCTATAATAGATTTATAGCTCACTATTATACTTACTCTCATGCGACTGATGACTACATTCGCTGCATCAGTGAGGAAGAATAATCAAACGTGAAGCGTATACTCTCTACATATGATTATATGATGGGTACGGCACCGTTGCTCACGTGTGCTGCTTGCCCGTTTCCTTCGTTGCGCACGGACGTGGTCAGTGACAGTACTACTAGCATGTTTTTTTTTCCCCATTCGACGTTAATCAGTTTAAAATTGAATTAACGAACGTCAATAAGTAAGAACAAAGGGGTACTATATAAGATTAAATATATACAAAACTTGATATGAAGCGGTCGGAAACGGTAGCATCTTTTTAGAAATGATACTCGATCGGCTGGTAATTGATCATATTTATCATTTAAATTACTCACTATCGACATTAATACGATGCAGAAAGAATTGTGAAAAATAAAATTTAAAAATAGCAAAAAAAAAGTATGGTCGGAAACGATACCCCTTATACGGAAACGGCGATCGGTCGATCGGGAATTTCCGTGACCGTTTTCACCCCTACCTGAAAGAGTGATACCATGTACACCACCTATTAAGTTAGAACGGCGTAGATCTAGAGAAGTTTTGTTGGTGCTATAGCACTCGTTGATAGGTAGGTTCGGATCTATATACCAGTGACCGGTCATCACCAATGGTCAGGAGGGCACCATCGCTACTGCCTCTCCTTTAAGTCAGGAAATCCACATCTTTTGAACTACTAGATTATCTTTTTTTACCCACTAGAAACCTAATTTGTCTAATGAAAATCTCTATGAAGTTGGAGCATGTGGTGTCGAGAGGTAAGAGCATGAAGCTTCGTGGTTCATGCTAAGGTTGGATATGTTATATTACCTCCGTATTTAAGTACTGAGTAAATTTTACAAAATAACTATCACAAAACTACATAATCTAGACGTATAACAAACTATAATTTTAGCACTAAATTCTTCATAAAGCTATAGATTTAAAGTCAAGTATCACAAACTATATATTTAATATTGAAGTTATCATAAAACTACAAATTTGAGAGTATAAATCCCTAGGACTATGATTAGCACTATCATTATATTGGAGCTATAAACGTTGTAGTTTTGTGATAAATTTGATACGTAATATTTATTTTTTGACACTCCATCTCAAATATATAGTTCTGTAAGAAATTTCATGTTAAATCTGTAGTTTTTTTTATAATTTGGTTAATTGTTTTGTGAAATTTACTCATAAATATAAATATATGACATGGCTCGTTTTATTTGGCTTTGGTATGTGCTCTCTCCGTCCCGAAAAAAACTAATCTAGGATTGGATATGATATATTCTAGCACAACGAATCTGGATAGATGTATGTTCAGATTCATAGTACTAGCATGTGTCACATCCAGTAATAGACTAGTTTTTTATGGGACGGAGGGATTAAGTTTGAACACTTTATTCTATTAGAATACCAAAATTTTAATATTATAAAAGTAATTGTAAAGAGAAATCTGCCCACATAAGATTTTTATGTTTTCAAACTATTTTTTAAAAACTTATCGATGATTAAACTTTCAACAGTTTGACCAAATAAAGGAAAGTGCAACTCGATTAGCTCAAACCCTGATATAAATACATCGAAAATCAAATGGAAAAAAAGTTGTTTCTTAATCTTGACAACATGAAAATTAGATATAGTTAAATCGGTTTATTTTGTGTGTGTGTTTTTGAAAAAGGGGTTTATTTGATCGTGATTGATTAGGGCCTTACATAGTTCCATGTGCTCCAATAGAGCTGAACTAAAACGGAGCAGTAGGACACGCGTCACACGATGCAAAAAAAACCGAATTGACGGCACCCATTCCTTTCTTCTTCACTTCTTTTCCGTCTCCTCTGCTACAAGCGTTCGTCACCGAACCTAGCTTCTCCGCAGGAAGGAAGGGGCAGCAGCGTCGCCGAGCCAGTGGCCATCGGAGCGACTGGATCCGGCGTTCCTTTTTTTACTGCTGTTCCTCTAATCCTCTCACATCGCTTGAGGTCGAGCTCCCATGATTCTTCTTCCCCTGCAACTGCGAGATGGATAGCAGAATTTCCTTTTCCCCAAATGCCTTGAAAATTTGTTGTTTTCCCATGGGGGATCTTTGGTGCTGCGAGGTAGGCCAAAAAATGTTTTTATTAAAGGGTTGTTTTCAAAAGGGGATTTTGAATTGACGAAATTTACTACAGTACACTCAAAAATTGTATAATTGGTTAAGTGAAAAAAAAACACTGCCAATAAACACTGCAAAAGTTGTGTTGGACAAGGCATTATTTTATATTTTCTGAACAAAAATAAAGGAATTTTTTTTTGAAATGACGGGAATACCCCCGGCGGTGCAGCGTCACGCCGAGCGCCACTCCGCTTCACCGCCAAACTTCAGGCGGCATTGTAGAAGCAGCAACAACAGTCAGGGATATCGGGGCGGTCGTGTGACGTCGGCGAGGAAGGCCTCAGAGGAGATGCGGTGGCCCTCGAGGGATCCCTTGTCCATGTACTCGAGCATGATCTAGAGCTCGTCGGCCTGTTCATACATGCCGTGGCACCACACGATGGCCGGGTGTGGCGGACACGCTCCATCTCCGACAACGAAGACGGGGCCGGCGCCACGGAGCCGACTGAATTCGGCGGGGTGAGGACGCCGCTAAGCGAGAAGGGCCTAAATGAGGACGTCGACTATGGCAGGAGCGGGAGCAGCACGGCGAGGGACGTGAGGTCCTGCTGCGGTAGCAGAAGCGTGAGATCTGGTCGACGCCGCGACCGCCCCGGCGTCCCCAACTGATGCTGTTGCAGTCCCATCCTCAAGTTCGGTGGAGAAGTGGAGAGGCGCACGGGGTGACGAGGCGCCGCTAGGCATTCCCATCATTTCGAAATCTCTCACCTCTTTCAGCACGGAAATTATAAAATAATGCCTATGGTGTGCTACAATCAATTACATAACTTTTGTAGTATCTATCGACAGTGTCACGTTTTTCGGTATCTCTCAGCCAATTATATGATTTTTTAGTGTCATGTAGCAAATTTTACAAATGGATTTGTACATGTGTTTATGCTTCACTTTTATCATTTTTTAAGATCCGGTTGTATTTGCCGTGTGGTGTTGAAAATCGTGAAAAAAATCATGGATGGATGGATGGATGTGGAATTTAACTATTTGCAACTATTAGTTTCAACAATAATTCAAATACCCCTTAGATTTGCACTTATTTTTTTTCCTCTTTTAAGAGATGCCTTCTTAATTATTTTCCACTTTTTCCCATGTGGCATAGCAACATGGCAATGCATAGTAGAAACCGTTGTGTTACCCACTAGTCATCCTCTCATCTCCTCCTCCCCTCTTCCTTCGGTCTGGCATACGATGACAGCAAAACTTGCGGTGCAGAGCAGTGACAGTGACGAAGGAGGCAGAGCAGCGGCGGACAGATTCCTTGCGGTGGTAGAGGAGGCGAAGCGGCGGAAGAGGAGGGCGGTGATGGAGGAGGCGAAGCGGCGGCAAAGGAGGCCGAGCAGCGTCGGAGGGGCTTCTCGTGGCAGTGGAGACGGCGACAGACGGGCTCCTCGCGATGCTGGAGGGGGTGGAGCAGCGGCGGTGACTGAGAAGGAGGGTGACATTGGAGGAGACAGAGCAACAGTGAAGGAGGCCCAGCAGCGGTGGAGGGGCTCCTCGTGGTGGTGGAGGAGGCGGAGCAGCGAGCGGACCTCAGGACGGTGACGAGTTGCTTGGAGGTTCTCCGATGCACGCCGGACTAGAGGGAGAGAGGAAGGGGAGAGAAAAGGCTGACTAGTGGGTTTCACGTCAGTTTCTACCCTACGTTACCATGTTGGCATGCCACGTAAGCAAAATGGCAAATAGTTAAGAGGGGAAAAATAATAAGTGCAAATCTAATAGGGCGTTTGAATAATTACCGAATCTAATAGTATTCATAGGGGGGATGGATACCCTATACTACGTGAGTATTTTTCACGTATTCCTGGTAATCGTAGCTCCAAACATATCGAAAGGAAGCAGCTACACCTAAGGATACCCAGATACGGTTCACAGGTAACTTATCCGTATCGGATGTATCAGATACAGATATGTATCGGATACACCCGTACGTATCCCTAATTACCGCAATATTAAAAAAAGAAAATAAACTGGATACTTCTCCGATACGTTCCGATGTGTTTCCGTCCCAATACGCTAACCAACGCTCCAGCACAGAAGCACAACGCAGATCCCAATCCTCCTGCGGCAACGCAGCGACGCCCGCATCGCTGTCCGGGGCACACCGCGCAGGGCCTCGACCAGCTGGCCGCCGGGTTCCGCCGCCGCTCGCGCACGACCTGAGGGGCAAGCCCTCCACCGGCAGCCGTGCGTCGCGTCGCGTCGCCACCCGTGGGCGTAGGACCTCCGCTGGGGTGGGTCCACCAACAGGCAACGCATACACCAGCCATTTGGTTCTTTCTTTTCCCTTTTAAGTCTCGATTTAGATTGGATTTCGTTATGTGTTTTCCCATGTCATTTAGATCCGATGAATTTTGGAATTAAAATCTTAATCGCTTACTCCCTCCGGTTTTATTTTAATTAACGTTTTGGACAATGACACGATCTACAATATATATATTTTTGGCATTATTTTTCTATTATAATATATATAATAAATAAATGTATTTTTATTTTTATTATAGTGTTTTAAAAGATAAATCTATATATGTTGTTTTAGTTCTTTTAAACTAAATATTTTTAAAGTTATTGATGGTTAAAGTTATAAAAGTTTAATCTCAATCATATCCAAAACGTTAATTAATATGGAAACGGAGGGAGTATTTAACATGCGACTATGTTAGTGTGGGGATGTAAGACTTCCAGCCACATCGCAGACTATGAATGCAAACAACGCTTATCCATTATGTTTCGCTTTGTATCTTTTATTTTTTAAATATATATATATATATATATATATATATATATATATATATATATATAGACGTATTCCTGTATCCGCCTATCCGTATCTTGGTATCAAGTTAACATACTGCTCTCCTCTGCCACAGAAAATCCCACCCCAACAAACCCAGCGCATCCTCATCGTCGTCATCAGGAGAGAGAGACCCAGCGTGCAAGCGTCATCAACCTCCCTCCACCTTCATTCCACCTCACCACGCCTCCTCCCATTCCCGTTTCCTCGGCCGCAAATCCAGTCCCGGCGCCCGCATTTCCCGTTCCCAAACTCACCTGCTCCTCCCCTCCCTGTTTGCAATCCAGCCTCTAATCGGGATCGGCGGCGGCGGCGTCGCTGTCGAGGGCGACGTAGGGAGGAGTCGCGGTTTCGGCTCCGCGGTTTGGAGAGTTTGATTCGGTCTCTCCCCTTTTTCTCATCCTTTAATCCGGTGTGTATATTCCTATAAGCCGTCTTGGTTCGCTGCATGTTCGATTTTTTTTTCCTTTCTCACATCCTTTTTATTCGGATTCGATTAGGAAATTTGCTTGCTCTGTTTCTTGGTCCACCCTCGCCGCCGCTGGACAGGTGGACGCTGCGGCGGTGCGGCTCCGGCGCCGGTTCGCCTCCCGTAGAGAATCGCGCGGCGGCAGGATCCAGCAAGGCCGCCGCCGCCGCCGCTGGGAATCTTCTCTTCCGCGTCCGGGATTTCCGGCTCAGGTGAGGACGGTGGCTGCGTCTTTCGTTGGAATTCGCTGCTTTTGCTTATTGGGAAGAAGAATCCTGTTTTCCTGGGTGTTCTTGGTCACCTCGTCCGCTCCCAAATTTATGGACCATATGGAATTCCTCGATCTTTGTTCTTCTTTTGCTATATTGGGACTTGGAGCATGCGGATTCAAATTGGTTTTGCTTCGACCAGAGATTTCGAGCCGCGGAAAAGCTCCAATCTTGAGACGCGCCCGGTTGTCTTGTCCGCCATCGGAAAATCGTGGCTGATAGTAGTATTCCGATAACCTTGGAGCTTCTAACCTCAGCTCGCTGTCCTAAAATTTGTTGATATCCCGCTTTCGATTTGGCGACTTAGGGCAAAATATTCCATGTTTCTGTCAATTTTGTTGCTCGATCAAAGGATATGTGATGAATCTCCAAGTAAAGTTTAGGCTCACTTTTTTTTTATTAATTGAATTTGATTGGTGGGTATTGGAGGCTAGCTCATGTGTAGTGGTGCTGTCTCATTTCATTATTGGCCACTCGTTCCTACCATCACTTTTCTAGTAGCCTTACATGCTTACAGATTCCAAAGCACATGCTCCCTCCCCCATTTTTCTTTACTTTATTTGTTTGCTTTGAGGTTTCCCTGTTTATGCTACTGCACGAATCATGTGTGTTTCATCACATGGTCAGTACTGTCATATTCTTGGAGATGTCCTCATTATGGTTTCTTTAATGTGTTCTTGTTTTGCTATGTTTGTAGCTTCAAGAAAATACTTGCTGAGCTTTCCCTAGAAAGTAAAACAAATAAAGGAATATGAGATCAGTAGTTCGGTCGCTTCGCCAGCTCCGGCGATTCGGCCAGCTCCATGCAGAGAGACACTCATCAACGAATAGATTGATCAAGCAGCAGAATGCTCTAGTGCTGTGCAGTTCAGCTTCCAGTTCAATGAGCACATTATGTTGTAATAGAGAAATTGGCAGATATGTGAGCCCAAGTGTGGAAATACTGAGGTCCAGCTTTTCCACTGTGGCAGCTGATTCAATCAAAGGTACATTCTTGCACTCATTTGTATTCTGGTAGCGGCATTTCATTCAACATATTTTCTTTCCCAATTTGTGTCAGATGTTGCAAGAGGTGGTCCGATGGTGGAATATGAAAGGAGAATAGCATCAGGGGAGCTTGTGGATGGTGATAACTTTCAGGTTGTTGCACCGCTCCTGAATGTTTCCTTTCTTCTTGTCTATTTTCCTTTAATGTTTGGTGTAAGATTTTTCTTGCCATTTTTCCTCATTATACAGATTGATACTATTCAACATTTACAAAGGCTCTATGAGGAGCTGGTTGAGAATGAAGAAGCTTGCCAACTGGACAGATACCAGTCATCTGAGAAATCTGGAAGGTAAATGCAGTTAGAAAACACGGAGTTCTCATTGTTTACCTGGTAGTGAATGTTCCTAAGTCCTAAACCTTATTATTATGTTTGGCAGGCGTAGATGGCTATGGTCCCGCCTCATTACCCAGCCTTCTACCTATTCTCCGGTGCAGGGGCTGTATATGTATGGAGGTGTTGGTACTGGGAAGACAATGCTTATGGACTTGTTCTATGAGCAATTGTAAGTACCTCAACCTAGAATCTGTAGGCTTTGTTGGTGCATCCTTGAGAAGTTGAGAACTTGAGATAAAACAGTTATGTTTCATAGTGCAGATAATAGATAAAACTTGTCCATAGATTGCTTGCTTATTAGTAATTCATCAGTGTGCAAGTATGTGTAATGCTCTTCGATGAAATGAAAACTCTGGTGCAAAATAGCTCATACAGGATTTGCATGGCAATTATGCAGTCCTCAATGACCTATTTCCATATTTAATCATATAGAGAACTGCATAAAGAAACAAGTAAACAAGTATGCCTTTCTACTTTTTACTTGTTCACTATAATCCATATATGATCTGCATTCATGGAGAAGCATACAATGGATACATACTGAAAATTGACATGGTGAACAATTTCAAAATACAGATGGTATGTTACTTTACAGAATTTAAGAAGCTTCATCAGTGGTTCATGTACTGTTACATAATGCTAAAATAGTAAAAAAATCTCTATCTATGGAATTTTCTTGAGTTATTCATTTGGACATTGTCTAGTATGAAGGGTCTAGGCTATTGGCACTGTCTAGTATAATTATTAATGGACATTCATGTGACTTCCCCAATATGGAGTCGATAAATTTTCAAATAAAAATTTCACTTGCTTATATCCCTAAAATTTGAGTTCTGGTTTTAATGAATTCAAAATAATTCATGTCGACCAAACCAATAATAACTAGCTCAAAGCCTTGTCAGTATCTTAACACATGAGTTATGCTAATGAATTGGCTTGAAATCACTCTTCTTAGGCACTAAGATAATGAGAGAATTATGAGCTACACCTGGTTGAACTGAAACTCTTGGATTATTAATTGAAAACCAGTGAAGATTAAAATTTATTACATAACACATAGGAATTTCTTGATTATATTCCAGCATTCTTTTGAAGAAATGCACTAAATCCCTTGGTCAAGAGCTTTGTCCATTATGGGATTTCCAGCATAAAAAAACACTAAATGGAGTAAACATAAACATGTCTCTTAAATATTTTGGCTCTTTCTTTGCAGTTGTTTAGAAATAAGTAGGAAACATCAAGTAGTATCTTGGCCAGTCCAATCTCTGCAGCCCTATTTGCTAGATTGGAGCCTACAGTGATCATGATGATTTAATATTAAATTAAAATAACCATATTTCTCCCTCTTGAAGGAAAGTACCTGGAAAAAACCATCATGCGTCTTCCTTTCGTCTTTTTATGAAATATCAGTGTTTGCATCAAAACAATTTCACTGTGTGGTAAAAGAAACACAAAATTACTTTTTCATACTAAATTGGTTTTTTTTTTTTTTTTTTGGGGGGGGGGGGCAGGCCAGCTAATTGGAGAAAGAAGCGCATTCACTTTCACGATTTCATGCTAAACGTACATAGTCGTCTTCAGGTACTTATGTGGATATAATGTGCATAACTAGCTTTCTCAGTTTTAGTTCAGGCATATATTATTGGACTTTCATCTATGTACAGATGCATAAAGGTGTTTCAGATCCCCTTGAGGTGGTGGCAGCTGAGATTTCCGATGAGGCCATCATATTATGTCTTGATGAGTTTATGGTATGTGTATGCTTATCGAAATATTGGATTGATAAGTATGTGTCTTGTTAACAAATTCAAGACATTGTACAGGTAACTGATGTTGCTGATGCTATGATATTGAACCGGCTATTCAGACATTTGTTCAGCAAAGGCGTTGTATGTGATTTTTTTTCACTCTCTTATTCCAGTTAAGCAACTTGCAACAGTACCTTAGCATTTCATATTAATTATCTTGCATGATGATTTTTTTCTCAGATTCTTGTTTCAACGTCTAATCGTGCTCCGGATCAGCTTTACGAGGGTGGTTTGCAGCGAGACCTTTTCTTACCTTTCATTGACACGTTGAAAGTATGAGTTAGTTTCACAATTTTTACTGTCAAATCAATTTTATTGTGCATGTTTACTGGACTCAACTTTTGTGAACCATTTCAGGAAAGGTGCATTGCACATCCCATTGGCTCTGCAGTAGACTATCGTCAATTGGGTTCTGTATGTTGCCTATCTTTTCAATATATTACTGTTTAATTTTCTTGTAAACCCTTTCCTTTGTTGACATCTTTCATCTGATACATGAACAGGCTGAACAGGGTTTCTATTTTATCGGAAAACAATACTCACTTCTTAAACAGAAGTTGCAAACATTAATTGGAGATGAGGAACCTAGACCTCAGACAGTTGAAGTTGTTATGGGACGGCAATTGCAGGTCTTTTATAAGTTAAAATTTTTAAGTAGCTAGTTTTGTTCCAGTAAAAAAATAACTTGGTGTTATTATTGAACCTTAATTTGTTGCAGGTTCCACTGGGAGCAAATGGGATTGCATATTTCCCATTTGAAGATCTTTGTGATAGGCCTTTAGGTGCAGCTGATTATTTTGGGCTGTTCAGTAAGTATACTGGTGCAATGCATTTTCTCAATCAGGATTTTCAAATGCCTATTATTGATATAACATAATTGTTGCCAAATTGTTACTATGCAGAAAAGTTTCACACCTTGGCACTTGATGGCATTCCTAAGTTTGGGTCTCAGAACCGAACAGCAGCTTATCGGTTTGTCACATTGGTTGATGTAAGATCATTGTTTCCTTACTCTATTATTTTCATGTTCAAGTTTGCATTGGCCTGACTGCTTAGACAACCTTTTATAGTTATGACTCCGAACTACTAGACAATAAGCACCTTGAACCTGATAGCCTTATAAGCACAGATGACATTTGCTTTGCTTCTCTTTAGTACTAATGCACTAAATTTTCTTATGAATCTTGGTCTCTTCGCTAGATTTTATTATATAATAGTGTCTCTGTTCAAGATTGCAAAGCATATATTTTGAGTAGTTTTGTCAATAAATATTAGGTTTTTCTCATATATCAACGCAAAAAACAAACACATTTTTTTCCTTCATACCCCCAGTAAATATTCACCGTTACTTTATATTCCATACATGCATACATTTAATATAGCCCTTAAGAGATACTAATTCTGTGGTTAACCTAGTCCTTTTTAATACATGCTTTATGTGCAAGATGACATATGCCTTGTATGTTGGATGGACAGGTCACGGGAGTAGAATTTTTTTTATTGCAGATAGAAATTATTCTTGAGCATAAACAAGAACAGAATTCATGTTAACCAGAACCTCTGTTTAATATGGCAGAAGTAATCTCGTCTCTAACCACCAAGGAAATGATGACATTTCAGGTTATGTACGAGAACAAAGCAAGGTTATTATGTACAGCAGACGCTGCACCAATAGAACTATTTGAGAATATAGTGACAGTTGCTGAAGCACGAAAAATTTCTCCTAGATCTTCACGGTCGCAGAAAACTGATGATCCTGACTTGTGTGTGGACAATGAGCTAGGATTTGCCAAGGATCGAACAATTAGTAGGTAATGTCAAATTTGTGATATTATGCATAATGATTTCAGAAGGCAATAAGTTTTATCGTTTCTGGTTTTTTTGTTTATGCAGGTTGACAGAGATCAACAGTAGAGAGTACTTGGAGGACTTTGAAGCGAAATTGCGACAGCCCTTACAAGGTGTAGATAATGATATTGATGTTGTACTAGTGTAAGTAGCAGCAAATTGTCTGGTATGAATTAAGTCTACCCTCCTGGCTTTACAAAATGAAGAAAGAAAATGTTGGTTTTCCAACATTGGTGCATGTAAATTTGCAATAAGCCCCGTAAGAAATTTTGCAAACAGGCGGGTCATCCATAAAGTGTAACACCTGTAGAGAAGAAAAATGTTGTTCGTTCTTCTGAAACCTGTGTTGTGTCTTTTTGCCTCCTCTCACTTTCTATTCCCATGTATATGCCAAAACACCAATATCATAAAAATAGAATATGTTAGATTCAGTGAGTGATGAATATTGTCAGAAGTGAAGGAACAATTTGGCCACTGCTAACAATGCCTGGTTCCTCTTCAATCATAAGCTCATCAAGTTATACAGTGTGCAATGGGAATGAATAACTGAAATTCATTTTCCCTGCATTTTACAAGACCGCTATTATGTCTCGTTCTAGATCATACGGTAGGAAGCTAATGCACATAATTGTTTATACCCTGCCGTAACTAGTTGCTACAGAAGATAACCCCCAATCCACAAATAAACAGAACCCACACAAAGATTTCAACAAATTTGGGCTGTCAATTCTTGAGTAGCTGCGCTTAACAAAAAGTTGGTATTTCTTTATTAAAAAAAATCTGGTTGTCACATCTTTTGGGTGTATAAAGAATTTCATTCTTCAACGATTGGGAACAAAATATCATGCAAGAAACAGAGGGATAGGGATGTTGGATTCTGTCTTCTAAAGAAGGGAACGATCTTCATACTATACAGAGGGATAGGGATGTTGGATTCTGTCTTCTAAAGAAGGGAACGATCTTCATACTATACTCGTGAGTTGATATTCCTGTCGTTCTAAAATATAACAACTTTTAAATATGAATTTGGATGAGTGTATATCCATATTTGTAGCTGATGGTTGTGATATTTTAGAATGAAAGGAATGTTTAAGTGCAAAGTATGAACTGTAGCATATCCGACTCTCCCTTTTGGAGAACTGTTGCATATTCAGTTTGCAGCATATGGTTGTTGTGATCTGCAGAGGTGGAGATGTGTGGCGATGGGCAACACAAACTAGTTCCGATTCTCCCTTTTCGCCGTCATGCTGTGACGGAATGTTTAAGTCATTGATGAAGTTGCAAACTATATCTTCTAGCTTCTCTTTTTTGTGTTTTAGTTTTCTTCGTTTGTGTGAGGTGTGGAGTCTAAGTTTTGGCTATATATATCCTTCGTGGATATAGAGGTCATATTATTAAAAAAAACTATTATTTAAAAAATATTATAGCTAACAGTTGCTATATTTTGAAACGGAGAAGTACTATAAAAAAAAATAATTTGTAGCTGACGTATCAAAGTATATAAGATACAAATGGTGCTCTGTGTTTGGCATCTTATACTGCTACCAGATTTTTAAGGAGCATCAGTTCACAAGTACTATGTTTCCTTTTTCTTTTTTCTTTTTTGGAGTTTGTGTGTATTTTATTTTGGTGCAGATGTCGGATGCTTTGATGTGGAAAAATTTGTGGCGGAATGCTAAATGTTAGGTGCAATATAGATTTATGGATTGAGCTTTGAAATATAAAATTCTACTTTGACTAATCTGCAGTCTAGAACAATTGTCCGATCAGTAAGACAGATGATGTTGTTAAAAAGAAGTTATTAATTATTAGGGGCAATTTCGCATTTGATCCTGTTTTGAGGACTAAGGCCGTGTTTAGTTGTTTTGGTAAAAAAAATTGTCGTATACGGACACACATTTCAAGTATTAAATGTAGACTAATAACAAAACAAATGTCTGTAAATTGCGAGACGAATCTATTAAGCCTAATTAATCCGTCATCAGTAAATGTTTACTCTAGCACCACATTGTCAAATCATGGCGTAATTAGGCTCAAAAGATTCGTATCGCAATTTACATGCAAACTGTGCAATTGGTTTTTTTGTCCATATTTAATGCTCCATGCATGTGTCTAAACATTTGATGTGACGGAAAAGTTGGAAGTTTGAAGGGAACTAAACACAGCCCAACTACCAATTTGACCCTCTTCTTTCAACTTTGCTCATTTGAGCCTTCTTTTCAAAATTGAAAATATAATCTGACCCTACTCCGTTAAGGGCATGTAACGGTGTTAATTGGAGCAACAAATGCCCCTTCTTCCCTTGCTTATTTGATTCTATTTTATAAAAAATATAAATAAAATATAAGAAAATTTTGGATTTGTGAACCACCCATCCTCTTCACCACGGCGCTGTCATCGTCGCTGCCGACCCGGCGGCGGCACTTGAACGGAGGAAGACGGAGGTCGGTGCGCGGGGAGGGAGGGAGCGGCGCCCTTTGTGGCAAAGGAGCTCGCCGGCGTGCGGAGGGTGGGCGGCGGCATCACACGCGCGGAGCAAGGAGGCCGGTGCGCAGAGGACGAGCATCACCCTGTGTGGTGAAGGAGCTCGCCGGTGTGCGGAGGGTGGGCGGTGGCATCACGCACGCGGAGGAAGGAGGCCGGCGCACAGAGGACGAGCGGTGACGGTGCGTGCGTAGAGGGAGGGAACGGTGCCCTGTGCCGCGCCGGAGCTCGCCAGCACGCGGGAGAGAGGCGCGGAGGACGGTGGCGAGAGGCAGCCAGTGCTGGAGAACTTGTTGGCGCGGGGTCACACGTCGTTGCCAACCCGCAAGTCCCTAAGACCACCGCCACGCCGCCGTCGCTGACCCGCCGCCTCTGAATCCACAGCCCGCATGCCTCGGCAACGCCGTATTTGTGGCTCGCACCTCCAGCCGCCGACGGATCCACCGCCTGCACACCGCCACAGCCCAAGCTATGCCGCAGTTGCTCCTCCTCCTCATCGTCGAGCCTCCGCAGCCGCCGTCGCCGTCGCCGCCGCTCCTTTCTCCGCGCGCGCCGCCATCGCCGCGCACGCGTTGCCGCGGGTCCAGTCCCTTCGTGCCTCTCCACAGCCGCCACTACCTCCCTCCACAAGTGGCCGCGTGGGCTCATCCCCTTTGTGCGCCGCCGCCTCAAGCGGAATATGAGAGAGATGGGAGGGAATGGATAGGGTTAGGTGTGGATAGGGTTTGAGGGTAGTTTGGTCATTATGAATAATAATTATACTTTTTTTAGAAAAAAAAAGAAACCTTAACATTGCAGTGGAAACAGGGTTAGACGGGGGTATTTGTTCTTGAAAAGCATGGCCAAATAAGCAAATTAGAAAAAGTAAGGTCAATTTAGTAGTTAGGCTTCAAAATGAGATCAAATAAGTAATTGTCCCTAATTATTAATGTACGATTAATTAGAGAAAGTTTAATACTCCACCCATTTCAAAATATAAGGTACAACCATATGGACACAGACCACAAGGTCGCCAGAATTCTTCAGTATGTATCATCCACAAATCTTTAATAATCTTTAACAACCATCTCAACTTAAAGACCAAGAAATAATTAGATCTTCATGGTGGAGAATTTAAATAATAATATTTTAGTGCAGAAGAGGTGTTAGTTAATGGCATGCATGCATGTATGCCTTATATTATGAAACAACTTTAAAAAGTAGTTGTGCCTTATATTATATAATGGAGGGAGTAATATAGCTAACTACTACCTCCAAAAATTAACGCATCATCTATAGCTAACTTAATAGACTAATATTACAATAGTTAACTATAGATACACACTATACCATTAATGCATTTCCCACATTTCTCTCTCACATGATTTATTGTAGCCCGCTTTTCCTCTCTCCCCCCTCCTCTCTGCTCCACATAAGCACAATATGATATGGCAACATGTATAACCCGCTTATATTATCTTATTGTACTCGCTCTTAGCAAGAGAAACCAACTACTTCCGTCCAATTTTAAGCGCAGTTGTGGGTTTCTGTGCCCAATGTTTGATCGTCCGTCTTAGTTGAAAAATTTATAAAAAAAATTAAAAATAAATCATGTACAAAGTATTATCATGTTTTATCGTGTAATAACAATAAAAATACTAATAATGAAAAAAAATTCAAATAAGATAGATGATCAAACATTGGACATAGAAACCTACAATTACACTTAAAATGTGATAGAGGGAGTATTGAGTTTGTGTTTACTTGATTACCCCTATTTATTAATAGTATAGCATTGCTCTAAAAGTAACAATGGTGTGATGTTACTATCTCGGAGAAGCATCTCTTCGATGATGTAGAGACGAAAGAAAGATACTCCATCCATAAAAAAAAACACTCAAACTAGGTGGGAATGTGGCCCCTCCTATTACAACAAATCTGTCGACGGGGGATACCCGTGGACCGGATATAGAGGTTATTGGGGTCCGTTGGTACGAGGATCGACGTAGTATGACATCAAGCAAACAAAAGATAAAGACTATACTGGTTCAGGCCTCTTGGTAGGTAATAACCCTAATCCAGTTGGTATGGGATTAAATGATGGAAACCACAGATTACAAAGGGAATAGCAGAACTCGATGATACCGACGAGACCGTAGTCGAGTTGGTCCGACTAGATCTCCCGGCGACTTGGCTCCTGCACGCTCCGGCTCCGTAGGCTGTGGTGGGTGTGTTGGCGGTGATATTCTATGCCTTAGGTCTTGCCCAGGGGGTCCCTTATATACCGCGGGTCAGTTTATCTCCAAGTAGGACTCGGAGATAACGGACCCCTCACGATATGGTGAAGACCCAGTCTTGTCCGAGTAGAACTCCTTCCATTCGTAGACACCATCCCTATCACGTGATAGATTTCCTTAATGTATACGGAAACTATCCGTATACGCGCGGGTATACCGTATCAATATACAACGCACATCCAAGGATAGAGGGTATACCTTATCCGTAACCCTGACAGTAGCCCCCGACTTCTGCTTAAATGAGCTCATGTTATCGATCGTGGCTTCTGATGTCGGAATTGTTGTCGCTCTCATCTAGTCGATCTCGGTGTGAAAACCATAGAGACAAAGAGCCATCGACAACACCGCGTGAAGTTCAATGGTCATGAGTGAATTTAAATTGAAGTCTGAAAAACTACCGCACAACTACCGCACGCAACGGACCCAGAATTTTCCGGCGGCAATCTCTCTCCTTTCCTTCGAATACGCACCATCAGAAGCGTGTTTATTTAAAGGGATTTTGGGGATCCATTTGAAGTCCGTTTGCCAGAAAACTCTCCTGCGTTCTAGCGCTCCTTGTCCTCTCCACTCCCCGCAAAAGAAAAACCCTAGCTCACTTCCTTCATCCTGTTCTCCGGCGATCCTCCGACGGTGATGGACCTTGAGAAGTCTTCCTCGAACACCACGTCCATGAAGAA